CAGAAAATGGACAGGCAGAGAATGACAAGCAATCAGAAAATGGACAGGCAGAGAATGACAAGCAATCAGAAAATGGACAGGCAGAGAAAGACAAGCAATCAGAAAATGGACAGCCAGAGAATGACAAGCAATCAGAAAATGGACAGCCAGAGAATAGCATGCAATTAGAAAATGAAATTAGTAAATTGAAAAATGAAATTAGTAATTTGAAAGGTTTTCTTAGTAGTGTTTATGATATTAAGCTGTGTGAGAGTTCGATTAAAAAATGGTCAATTTATTTAATATCATTTCGCATAATAAGTAATAATAAGTAAAGAATTGTGATGCAAGCAAAAACTTAACTGTTCAGCAAATTATTGAGTTTAACATTTGTTTTCCAGATTACATTTGCAAAACGTGATAAGTAATTATCATTCGTCATAAGGAATAATAATAAATTATTATGTAGAGATGACGGTTAAAAGTGGTATAAATTATCTGCCAAATAATAAAATTATTGGCATTTAGATTCTAGTAAGCTGTTGAATAAAACTTATCACCAAATACATGAAACATTGTAAGTTTTTTTTTTAGCACTACTCATATATGAAATGGTTCTCATAACTAAGCACAACGAAGTATTGGGTAAATTTGTAAGGTCAGACTAATTTGATTTTCTGTTTAACATAACACCCACCCCTCAAATTTACAAAATATAGGAACTAATACACATAATATTAAATAACCTCCGCTATTTTCAAAATCTATATAGGTCAATACACATCAAATTAACAAATAAGAGTGCAGCATTAATTTGTATCTAATATTGTGTGTTTTTTCTTAATTCCCATCCACTTCTTACAAATATCTCAAATTACAGCATTATGTTAAACAGAGAATCAGTTTAACTTGGTCTAAGCAGTAAGAGTAAGCTATTATTATATTAATCTACTTAAAAATGCATCGTATGATATACAAATTTGTGGATTGGGTTTCAATCGAAACTTCTGAACTTTATGAAAATTTCACACGGGCTACACTTTAGTCAAAATTTCAAAGTTTTCTATTACATCTTTTGCATATGCTATCAACTCAATTCTGGTAATTAATGCCAAGTCTCAAAAAACTCTATAAATACCACAAATAAAAATTTGGGGATGACTACCAAAACTAGCACTAGCACGTGTGAGCATTGTAGAGGTGTAAAATGCTCCGGAGAGGAGTGGGCATAATATGTTTAACAACTAAACAATACAGCATACCACATTAAAACTACCCGAACTATTCTAACAAAACCTTAATAATGGTAAGGCTTCGATCGAGACGTGGAAAGACTTGATCCGAGTAACTAGGGTCAATTAGCGTTCTAGACTACGTCACGAGTCTCTTAATACGAGCACGGGATCTAATGATGCCTGACGAATGACGTAACCCTTTCGTCATGACGAATGACGAAACCATTTCGTCAGGCAACTTCGAAATG